CAACGTTTTATAGGGCTTCCAACATGTGTCCAATGTACAAGACACATATGTTAACTTGTAAGGCAAGTTTCATATATGCATGCTATATCATTAGCTTGTACTATAATATATCCATACATGCAACACATGGCTAACTTATTGGCCAAGTTTCGAACCTACCAATCAATTATAAATATATATAAAATCAAATACGAATCTATGAAGCTTCTAAGAAGCTATGCCTTAAGATAATAACAAATCTACCTTTATTTCTCTACTATCTAGTATTTCTTATCTAAGTAAATATATATGTCTGTGACACATATTGAAACCTTAGTTTTGCAAATAGGATTAAAAAATAAAAATAAAAATAAAACATATTGAATTGATATTAGCCTTTTATTTAATTTGGGACTTGAAATCCTTCTCATTTCTTTACATTCATTTGAGTATCTTGTTTTAAAAATACACTCAACCTTTATTATTATTGTTGTTGTATATATATGATTTTATTTTATTTTTAAATATATGCAAATATTGGTTGATATTTTAGATATTAAAATATAATCCCAACATATAGTAACCAATATCTTTTACTTAAGAATCATATTTAAATTATTAAAAAAGATATTAAATTTAAAATAAATCACATTTCATATCACAAATCAAAATAAATCAATGATAAGTTGATCTTTGAATAATTGATAAGTAGTGGTTTAATGCTACACATGGTTGACATTTTGGTACAATTACTTTATTTATTAGTTGTATTTCATAACATTCAAATAAGTCGTCTTCTACTCAAAAGGTTGATAATAAATTCTACTAATTGGATCCTTGCCTCATTAAGTAATAATCATATTAAAAATAATAATAATAATAATAACATTAAAAAATAATAATAATAATAACATTAAAAAATAATAATAATAAATAAATAAAAACATTAAATATATATATATATATATATATATATCCACACACTTGTGTGTAGGAAGTTAAGGAGAGTGGAGCCCAAGTACAACATGCAAAGAATAATTCATTTATTGATGCAAGATTCCTTATTGCTTTGTGTGACAAGGCAAAGAAAACCCTAAAAGTTGACTTGGATCCACAAACGAGAGAATCTGAGGTGGACTAACTGCACCTCGCTGACTTACAAATTTCAGGTCCACGTCAGCAATGCCTGTGAGGGGGACGTGGCACAAATTATAGTGCCGTGGAAGCGGCCAGCGAGTGGACGCCAAGTGGACGACCGACCTCCCATTGCTCGCCCGACCTCGAGCATCGCACTCACTCAGAACTGGAAGCGGGAGTTTCGATATGGGACAATTCCATCTGTTCCCGAATCGATCGAGAGCTTCTCCATCGTTGTGGTCGTGTTCGGATTCTACCTCCACGACGCAAAGCGGGAAAAATTGGGTACCCAGGGGGATTCTACATTGGTGTAGTTGCTGCAATGTTGTTGTTTGAGAGATTGTTGGGCTTTGGGTCTTCTCAAGCCACCGTGATTGAGGGAGATTCCGAGTTTCATTGCGGAGATTCCTTGTACACGTTTGTTGATTTGTGACTCTTCGAGACTGACAGTTTCAGTCTGAGAGTGGATCGAATAGGAATTGAAGTTGGGGAATGAGCTGGAGAAATTTGATGTGTTGGGTGCTCGAAAGCGAGAACAATCTCAAAGAGCTGCACCGTTGCGTGGGTCCTTGTTGTGACCATGGAACTCTCTCCTCAACCGTTGCCTGCGTGGGTAGAGTCGGCGAACCTTGATGACTGTTGCTGGATAGACGTCGTGTAGATTCTGTCTGCCATGTTCTTATAAGGCAGGATCGTAAGTTCTCATATGAATTCTTGCGCGGATGGTTTTGAGTCAGTTTGTACTGACGAAGAGGCGTGTCGCTGAAGAAGCCGACGGGGCTGAGATGAATCCATCGAAAGCGTTTGAATGGATGGCACTCGATGAAGCGCGATATTGCCCTCAGTATCAAGACCCTGGTGCAGTTGCACAGGCAGCCGATCAGCAAACGATAATTCCTCGATTTCCATTACCTACAGTGTCCAGACCCTAGTGCAGTAGCACGGATAGCTAATCAGCAAACGACAATGACCGGATTTCTTCACATAGATCACACAATCATGTGAGCACAATGTCATGAAATCGAGGGGTGGGATTATGAATAATAGACGAATGGTGGTGAAGGGATCGAGACGAGATCAAGCAGAAGTGTGCATGTGTTAGGTGATCGAAGTCTAGCCAGAAGAGAATATACCCTTTTTGTTTGTCTTCATGGCATCCACGACATCAGAGATGAGATCTTCTTGACCCTGAATGTAGAGGACATGGGTTGGTCTGGCTATGGCTTGGAGGTATCATTGACTGCACTTTGACGAATGAGGAAAGAACGCGGCGTTATTGAGAAGTTGAGCATTGGAATCCAAGTTCTATGAGGGGAAGCAAAGAATACCTGGACCTCGTGTCCTTGTCCACGTTATAAGGATGTACTAGTGGTGGTACTGGGGGTGGCTAAAAGCAGATTGTGTATACTGATGGTGTAAAACTGTTGTGGGAGGGATATTATGCCGAAGAGACTGCCCCCAAATAGTGGCAATTTTATGAAAACGGTGAAAATCACACAATCCTGCAGTTGAACTGTCTGACGTGGGATAGAGGTCGTCGATCTGAAGGTGATGATGCCTGCAGCAATAATTGTTCACTATGTGAATCACGCTAATATAGATATTGCATCTCATGAGGGTTGTTTTGGTCCGTATTGGACCCGCTCGTTTGTCGACATGCTGTGCAGTATAGCCAAGGGTGATGCTCTAATCAGGTTTTGTGAAGTCATCGGAAGACTCACAGCTCGGGCCTCTGCGTAGCTTCATCAGTGAACAACTGGTTGGTAGCTTGCGGGTTGCGCAACCATCTTATGACTCATAAGGTGCGGGAAACTAACTTTTTCCGTTTCCTATGTAGTGTTCTGCATATACAAAATAAAAATAAAAATGGGCTATTTACTTCGACAGGTTTAGGTTGACGAAGTTAAGGTACAGTAATCTTGAGTGGTTTAAAGACCTTGTTTTTTGGCATTGAAAAAATGTATAAAAGATTTTATTCTATTTTTAAAATCATATTTTATCCACTTGTGTGCGTATAAAAAAATATATCAGTGTCCATTCTTCTACAGGTGTCTAATCATGTTCTTATATATATGTGTTTTAAAATCTAGAACGTGTGGCTCACTACGACTCCTCTAACTTCATTCGTGAACTTCATTGTCAGTAAAATAATTTGATTCCTTTGAATAGCCGATGAAAGGAGTTGTAGAGAATATTATAAATGCATTGCAAGGTTTTAGATGGTCTCCTTTCTCGATAAGAGGTCCTCGTCATTGATACGGGTTTTTCGGATCCTACAAGACAAGGCCGGTTTATATTTAACCAAGCCCACTAAATACCTGTGAGTTGGCTTCCTCAAGGTTGAGGCCTCAGAGTCCATGAACATAACAAGTCAGAAATCTGACTCGGAATCAAGAAATGCAGGAATTCGTCGCTGGGGATGACATGTAGCTTCCAAGTTCTGGTTGAATCCCTCGAGATTTGGACATTTTCAAGTTTTAGCGCTATTCAGATTACTGCGTATCACGGAATGAAGATTATTGGCTATTATTCCAGAGTATTACTTAGCTGACTAAGTCTTGACCCAGCTTTGTCAAAGGTCAACATGGGTCCACGTCGGTCAATTCCCTTCAATTCATTTGAAGCAAACGGAAAAATATATTCAATTGCAGGAGTCATTTGAAGCCGTATTTCGCGATGCACTGTTTGTTTTAAAATCAGCAACAGCAGTGAGTCTATGGAGTCTACGAAAGCAGTCCAACTTCGCAGTCTGAAGCAAAATCTATAAATAATATCGAAGAAGTTTTCCTGCTTGAGAGAATGAGATTCACGCCGTCCCGATGCAACTTTCGCAAACATGAAGTTACAGTAAACTTGTTCAAATTTGAGATAACTTGGCAGATGGTGGTGTCGGATGACGATGGTGAGGATAGGTAATTGATGCAGTGCGTTGCTCCTAGCTTCTTTGGTATTATTCCAAGAATTCTGAGGTGGTTCCAGGATTTCGCAAGCTTTGATCTCTCGAATGTAAATTCCCTTTCTGGCTCTGTACGCACAACGCCCAAAGTCGCAAGCATCCGACACGGCTGACCCTAGATCGCCACTTGGAACTAGGAGCTCCATTGGAATCGAGGATTACCTGGAATAGACAGTTGTCTGAGTGGAGCTAACAAAGATGGGCCCACAGGTGTTCAAAGTCAAGCATTGATAGGATCGCCGGCATGCCCATATTGGACTCATAACTCGTTGACTGTTGAGAACGTTTCCGCCATTTGACTTAACTTCATCACTGCTAGTGGAGTTCGACAAGGATTCCTTATCTCTGCTGGAATTTCTACGTGTAGAATTGAATGAACAGACCCAAGTAGTAAATAGGGTTCACCTATCAACTTGCCGCTGAAATTTAGGGTGCTCGTGTCGGTAGATCTTTCAGAGTGAATGGTGTGTCTGGATAACGAACTCTGCCGAGTAAAATGAAAGTTGAACAGAGTGTGTGAAGGTGATTTGAGGAAAATCTCGCCGCATGAGTCGTCGTTGAAGCGTTTTAGTCTGCATGGAGGAGAATTTCTTCGAAATTACGCTTACCATATCCGAAATGGTCACAAACCTCATAATTGGTATGGAGCTGAGGTTTGGAATACACTCAAACATGACGAGGGGGAAGATGCGTTTCAGAGATGCTGGCGCATTCGCAAGCCATCTGCGTTCATGCTGCAGTGCCACTTACAATACACGAAACAGATACCATGGATAATCTACAATTATAATACCGTGATGTCAATAGCTGGAAGATCTTTCTATGAAGTTTAAAGGATTTGTCGACACCTCTGGAGGTTTATCTACAGAAAAATAGGAGTATTTTCGTGGTGACCCGAAGGGTTCCTTACTTAACTTCAGAGATTTAATGGTTTTTTAATTGCATTTTGACAGCCGAGCTATTTTGTATAAAGAAAACACGTGGTTGGCACCTCCGCTGACTTGGTATACTAATTGGGGCTCGTTGACATACGGTCTGATTCGCAAGCATCCTTCTCCCCGACTTTCGCAAACACTGAGTGATGTTCGATGTCTCCTGACTCCCGAGCTGCGTTGTTGTGGTTTTTTGAGGTTAGTTATTTTTGTAAATGTTCTCATTAGCATTGCAAATGCCAGCTTCGGTGTGAAGATTGCATGAAAAATGAATCGCTCATCGCCATGTTTATGTTTTTAACATCGACAGCCGAGGTGAATGTTCTGAGATCAAACGCACTGTCTTGTTTTACAGGGAACCCTCGGGGCACCATCACGAGCCTTCGGCAATCTCGACTCTCTCTACACGTAACGAGCCTGCGGCACACTCGACTCTCCACACCATCACCGGTTCTCTTGACTGGGGAAGTCTAGCAACCCCTGACATCAAGACGTCTTGGTGAGGAAGTTGGATCTCTAGAGTAGAAATCTTCGTTCGGTTAGTTGGTCTTTAGTATGGATCCGGGTAATGGACCTAGCGGGTCCAGATCCAACGAACAATCTGGCCCAATTCCAGGTGTGCTTAAAATCGCTCCAGGAGCAGAATCATGGTCCATGCTAATCCAGTCTTCACCGCCACGTGCATCCTCGTCTTCATTAGCCTCTCCTAATCAAGATTCAGAGATGGATATGCGGTCTACTGCAACGATCATACCGTCAGCAGATACAGGGGGCCAACTGCAGGAAGACGATAAGTTCCGATCGTGTGTTAGTGAGCAGCATGACTGCCTAAAAGATACAGATGTTCGTAGTGCTGGTTTGAACGAGTCACAAACACGTAGTATATCTAGATTTCCTACGCAGGACGTACCTGATGTGTGCGAAATGGGGTGCCGAGATTTAATCGATGGCGAACCCAGCAATTACCGGCATCACGGATGCATAGAAGGGTTTGATGCGGAAGATCTGGAGCCATTTTCCCTCTGGGAGCTTATGACTACGCCAGTTGAAGGGTTACTAGATGAACGTTTTATTAAACCCTTCTGTTTTGATGACGGAATTAAGAATGAACTAGAGCCGCCTACCAGCGAATCCACGAACACTAAACGTCCCAAGCAGTCACTTACGAAGCGGAAGATCGACGACGTTGAGCCGGGAACTCGATCAACGTCTCCTGTGTAAGCCAAAAACTCGAAGCTCTTTTCGTGAAGTCTGTCAAGAAAATTGCAGTTGGGTTCACTGAAACCTAGAGCACCTTTGATTCGAGAATCTTAATATTAAAAAGAAGATAAAAAATAAAAATAAATAAATCTGTTGAATTTCACTTAAGTCTGCTGAACACAACTTTATGACATGAGAAGTTGCAGATTCCACAGATTTTACTAAAATTTCAGAGGACTGGACCCGAATTATCCGTCTCACAAATTAAATTAAATTGATTGTCAATCTCAAGTGTACACGTTTCTGGATATCACCAAGCATTTTTGTTTTAGGGTTTAGGCTGCTTCCAGATGTTGGACTTGTACGTTAGGTTTGTTTCCTTTTTGGAAGTTTCATGCCGGTTTGCGGTTTCAACAGGTTCATGAATTGAAGATTGTGAAGCCAGCAACGTTTTTATGTGATGCCGGACTGCAGTATAATGTACTAATGTTAAGCAGGAAATTGTGGGCAGGGACACCAGAGGACCTAAGTCGCCAAGTAGGCCATCAAACATCTCAGACAAGTCGGGGCGATACGTAATCCACACGAATTCTGATGTTGATATTATAGATGATGGTTATAGATGGCGCAAGTATGGTCAAAAGCCGGTGAAGAATAGTCATCATCCCAGGTCCGTTCTCATCTTGGACTCTCTGGCTCACTAACTGTGCAATACCAATAGTTCATCTCAATGATTAGACTAGGTTCTAGAAGTTGAGGTTCACTGATGCATCTATATAACCAGGTACCTAATTGCTGCAGGAATTACTATAAGTGCACCACGCCAAATTGTCTTGTAAAGAAGCAAGTGGAGCGCTGCACTGAGAATCCAAGCAACGTCATGACAACCTACTATGGCACACACAATCATCCTCAGATTAATTCAGCAGGTCAGCTTGAATGTGAGCCAACTCCCCATAGCAACATCAGCCTCGTACCTGGAGAATATGGGCCAAGGGTACCCCACAATTACTGTGTTCTGCCAGATCACGCGCTGAGGAGACGGCGGCTGAACCACCCACAGCAAGGTGGACCATTTCCTCAGAGACCAAACATCGATCTTAGGGGGCTCCAATTTTCCCCATTGAGCCCTCAATATTTTCTTTCCGAGGTGTTTCGCTCCATGAGCGGCAATTTGTATCCTCGGCCTCGTCCTCCTCTGGCTGACTCCAGGTTGGATCCTGGAATATTACTGGCTTTAGCTCAGATTTACAGCATGTGGCCAAGGGGACAAGTTCCAGGTTCGGCAGCGGCATACGATCTGCAGTCGAATAGCCAGTTGCCAGGGCCGAGTTCGCCTTTGAATGCAGGTCGGTTGCTAAGCATACAGCAACGGATTCTGTGGCTGCAAAACCTAATGGGAGAGGATTACTTGACCAACCGCATGGCTAGTCAGCAATCATCTGGAAGTGAAGAGAATCCAGAAGGCCCTCTGAATTCTGAACACGATTTGGGGAATCCTTCAAGTTCAATCTAACGCGCTTCAGCACTCAAATTGTAAATAAATGCCATTCTGTGACAAATATTTACTGGTAAATAATTGTTTTGCGATTCTACAGCACTGCTGATGGAGCTGGAGGTAGCTTAGCTGCAGGGTATAGTAATCCCCATGAGACGACTGTTTTGTTGAATATGTGCTCTCAGCTTCTTCGACTACTTTCATCTAGTTCATTACAGACTCACCCGAGGAACCAGATCTGTGACGTGGCGATTTATGAGTGGTCACAATATTGTATATATTTCAGCACCGTTGTGCAATAAGATATTCATTCTCAGTTAACGAGTTCATACCAACATGGTATTAGAGATGTGAGGCAGAGGGCAGTATGCTAGTGCGCTATGTTCCTAGTCTCAGAGTCTAGTGGATTAAGTGAGCACTGCTCCTTATCACCCATGTAGACAACAGTGTTGAGAGAAATCAGCAAACATGGCTGAACAGGGAGGTCATGGTAGTATGTCAGGAGATGCCAACAAACTTGTTTGTATTAGCAACTATTACATTTGGTAGATTAAGATGAAGGCTATACTAATGAGAGAAAATGTCTAGGATTTGATAGAAAACCATATTCAACCTCCAAACTTTCTAGCTTTAGTATTAGAAACACAACATACAGAACAGACAATGAAGAAAGCAAAGAATCTTGCCTTATCTGGAATTCACTTATCAATATGTGATAGTCTACTTAGATTTGTTGCTTTGTTCAATGATCCTTCTTTAGTTTAGGAAGGTCTATGCTAGAAATTTGCATTTAGCAATTAGTCATAGATACTAATATTGTCAAGTTAGGTATACATCCTTAAGATAGATAATGGCTCCATAAAGAAATATGTTAACAAAACAACAAATTTTGAAGTAGAAGATGTCTATAGGAGAAATGGTAACAAACAAATAGATATACTAATTCATACTAAATGGCTTGCCAAGAAGCTATAAAGGAATTGTTTACACCCTCAGTAATCTAGACATAGTACTAATATTTGAACAAATCTTATCTAAATTGCTTATAGAATCTACACAAAAAGCGTAGCAAAACATCTTACTTAGAGATGAGGAGAAACTAGCAATTTATTTCAACCCTACAGTACAGCTTCCATCTAGTACTACTCAAAATACTAGATTTAATATAAGACATTTATGTGGCCAATTTACAAAGAAAATTAGAGGAGTTTAATTAAGAAAGAATCAATTTTTTAGAAGAGGAAGAAGCTCTATTAGGAGAAGTTTTATACAACCAAATATCATCTACTACAATTGTGGCCAAGGTGGTTACATTATAGTTGAGTGCATGACATACTCATACTTTCAACAAAACATCAGTAGTGGTCTGTTTAATCAAATTGAATATGCCAATACTATAAAAAAATTGGATTTAGTTTTAACTCAGATTAATTCTCATTTTAATTATTTAAAGCCATAATATATGGATAGTAGACCTTTATATTATGTATCAAGGTCAATGGCCAATTTTACTTAGATTGGAGAAAGTAATTCAAGAAATAGTTATAGAATTAGAACCGCACATGGTGAAATTCATATTATTCACAGTGTAGGAACAACTAGTAAATATATGAGCTATGCAAATTCAAGTAAAAGAAATATAAATTTTTTTAATACATACTAAGTCTTATGAAGAGTCTTTTGTTTGTAATAGCCATTGGAGATACTAACAACACAGTTATCTTCACAAATTCACATTGCTAGATCCTTGATAGTCTAAGAAGTAAATAAATTATTATTGTAAGATATTAAGACTACATAGAAAAGATTAATAATATAAATACGTGGCACAAGAGATATAGATACCTTAGATGTTTTGGAATGAAGCACTTCCAGCAAAATAATAAAGTAATAGGCCTACCAAAAATTGAAGTTATCAAAACAGTCTATGAAAGTTGCTTTATTGGCAAGCAACATCATCAAAGATTTTGGAGATGGTTCAAAAATAGAACTACTATATTTGCATAACTTATACATTTAAATTTAATAAGGCATTTTCTACCAAATCATAAAGGAGATTTAGGTATTTTCTTATGTTCATAGATGATTTTTTTCTTTATGGCAAGCAAAGACAAAACCTTTTCAAAATTTAGAATATTTAAAGAAGAATAAAAAGAAAGACAAGGCACAAAATTTGTACCTTGAGAATAGAGAGATGTCAAAAATTTACTTCAAAAAAATTTAGTACATATTGCAACAATCATAGCATTCTATGCTACTTTACTCAACCACTAATTCTATACCAAAATGGAATAGCTAAGAGAAGAAATAGAACCATTAATGAGCAGTCAAAATCTATTACAGAAGATTGCAACTTATCAAGTTTTCTTAAGCCAGAAGAAGTAGCTACAAAAAACTATCTAATCAATAGAAGTCCCACCAAAGCAAATAGAAGAGTTATTGCAAAAGAAAAATACTCAAGTATTAAGCCCTACATCTCTCATCTTAAAACCTTTGATTATATTGCTTACATGTACATTTCAAAAGAATAATATAAAAAAAAAAATAGAAAAATTAAAATATGTCTATTTTTAAGATAAAATGAATAAAATAAAATATACATGATTAATAACCTAAAAAAGAAAAAAAAGTAGTCTTAACAAGAGATGTAGTTTGAAACAAAACAAAAATAGGGTACTATCATCTTCTACCAATAGCTCTAATATTTAAGGATATCTTTCCAACATTTGTACCTAATACTAGCACACAATCCAATCTTCTAAAGCTAGATCAATCAAACTCACCAAACCAACTTATAAGTCCAAGTTTATTTAAAGAAGAGTATATTCCAGATAATTTCTTCAGATCTTTCAAAAACCTTAATGAACTAGACTCATCATTTATATTTGATAGTTCAATAAGAGATGTATCCTTAAATGAATGCATAGGCCCAACTAATTGTTGATATTTTACTAGAAAAAGAGCATCCTTACAAAAATTAAAAGACTATTATTGAACCTTAGCAAAAGAAAATTTTGAACCTTCTTATTATGAAGAAGTAATAATCGATGAGCATTGGAAAAAAAAGAAATAATATAAGAAATTATGTCAATTCAGAGGAATTTTACTTGAAAAATAGTTGACCATTTGCTTAATAAAACACCTATTACAAAAAAATGGATTTACAAAATCAACCAAAAAAAAAAAAAAAAAAAAAAAAATCTATAAAATCAAAGTTAGAATAGAAGCTCAAGGATTTCAGCAAATAAAGGAGATTGATTACTTTGATACCTTTGTATCCATTATGCGATAGTCAACCATTAAAATTATATTATTACTAGCAGCCAAAAAAAAATAGGCAGTTAACAAGATAGATGTAAAAACTACCTTTTTAAATGGAATCTTAAACAATTAGGTATTCATCAAAATTCCACCAAGTTTTAAAGGAGAAAGTAATTCAAACAAGGCATGTAGACTTTGGAGAGACTTATACAAATCCAAATAAGCTCATAAGGTGTAATATTCAAGGATTGATGAATAGCTAATTAAATAAGGTATGCAATGCAGCATAGCATATTCTAACTTATATTTTAAATATTAAAATAACAAAACTATCATCATCTTTCTATAGGTAGATGATCTGCTGATTATAGGTGATAAAAATAAAGAAATTAGACATAAACAAAAATTCTTGTCCTAAACTTTGAAATGACAAAATAAAAAATTACAAAAGTATATCTAAATATTGAGTTTGAATACGAACCTTTGAGAATCTGGCTGTACCAATAGACATACATAAAGAAAATCCTCAATAGGTTTGATTTGAGCAACTACATATTTAGTCAAATCCTTATAGACAGTGGATTACAATTATAACAGGAAATAGATATTAAGCTTGGAATCTCTCCAAAAAAAAAAAAATACCTTTGTACTACTATTGATTAGGGTCATTCCTACACAAGGTTATTTTGTATAATATAAGAGAAAGAAAGTCTTATTTTGGATGATATTCAACGAAGTATTCTTTCTTAAGACTATTTTTATTATATTTTTCTTTCTTATCTTAAATAAGAAGCACACTTTGGTAAGTATAATATCTTTAAAAAAAATACATAGTTATCTTATTAATGTGGCTTTTTTATTTTATTTTAATTCTTTAGAAATCACATTATAAACAATAGAATGTTAGAAAATTAATAAAAATTTAATTAGTGAACTTAATATAAATATACCAAAAAATTTAATAAAAGAATTTGACGACCTTTTTTTATATAACTTTGTAGAGGATGTTGTATAAATAAATATTGTTATACACAACACATCAAGTGCTACAAACCAATCACAAAATATATAATCTAAACCAAATACAAATATACATCCAATACAAATTCACGTGAAAGATTATAAATCTACATCAAATTAAGTAAAGCTACCTTTCACCACAAAAAGAGAATCTAAAAGTACAAGTGTGAAGATAAAGAAAATCTTAAAGCTTTCTTAAATGGCTAAATCACAATAGCCAAATAAATCCTTACAACAAGTTCTATCTCTTTCAAAAATCACTCACAAGACTTGACTTGACAAGAATGTCAAATTAAGGGTTTTTTTCTACCTTAGTAGTTAAATCTTATTTAATATGAATAAAATCAATTAATAAAAAAACTATCAATGGATGAAAAACCACTAATCAAACTAAAATATATATATTCAATGGAATTTGGCATCCAATGCCATATTATGTGACATGGTAATTAGATGAAAGAAGAAAGAAAATATTTTATTATATAGAAATTTAAATGAAAATATTTTAAGAGATATATCATAAAAATATAGATAATAAAAAAAGATGTAGTAAAAATTAATAAATATTAATACTACCTTCTTGTAGAAGAGACTTCTATTTACTTTATAGTCACATAAATAAATCAAATAAAAGTAATAAGAAAAATTATTAATATAAGCATCTATAAGAGGGAGTTAAAAATATATTTTAATAAATATTACTTTAAAATATTAAGAATTGATATCCAAAGAAGACCGGTTATGAACCAAGATCAAAATGAAACCCTGAGGTATAAAATTGACCACCTACAGTGACTATAAGATTTTTCAATTAATTAAAGAGTGAAGTTTGAGAGCACACTTTTGAAAAGATTTTTGAAAGTTGACTTTATGAGATTTGAAGGCATGTTGAGGTTTTGAAGGCTATTCATGAAGAAAGATGTATTTGATGGATTTGGATTTTAAAAATTAAAAAAAAAAAAATCACAATTTTGAGGATTTAGTTAATATTATAGCATATTTATAAGTAAATAATTGTCAATTTGTCATTGTATTTGTCTCAAATAAA